TCAGTCGCAAGCATTATTAATGTGATTTGAATTAAAAATTTATTCGTTACCCATATAATTATAGATACTGAATGAACGTGAACTGTTTGAAGTGCTTAGGCCCAGTATTGGCTTGAAGTCGATGATGAGTGTAGGCATCTCACAAGCCATATCCACATCATAAATCCTGAAAATTTCCATGCAATGCTCACTTTTACGTTGCAAAAAAACAAATTTCGCATTTCGTTCGATTGCTTCTAAGAAACGCAAACTTCACAGGAGTTGCTGATCAGTAAGAATTAAAGGGCTAGGGCTAGCAGGCAGCAATGGGTGCCGAATACAAACACGTCTTGACGTCAACCAAAGCGAAACGTGAGCCGTACTAAGACATAACGTGGCATTACTAAAAAATACAGTGCGAAATTATTGAGATTATTCTGGTGGTTCTTCGTAATTTTAGTAATGTCCCACCTTACTTATCTTTTCCTCACAGAATTTTTCGCTCAGTTACAGTTCGTTTTTTAAGAACCGAAATAGCACAGTGGAAAGTTGGTCCGCAAATTGAAAGAACAACATCATTCGTGTTAATGACAGAAATTGAAAAATCTAGAAGAAAACAGACCCGAAAAAAGTGGGGGAAATACAAGGGTAATAAGTATTTCGAGAAGTACTGAAAAAAATGAGGGTGGTTTTTTTTCAACTTCATTTAACCTTCGAAAAAGAGACACATATATATCGAATAGTCGGGAGATGCTACCGGAGATGAGCAGCTAGAGATGACTTGCATAGCTGTGTCTGGCGTGTAGCAACATATCAGTAAAATCAACAACAATTTATTTTGCAGCTTTTCCTAACTTTATTTCATTAAACTCGCCACGTACACTCGAAAACACAAAGCAAAATTAAGGCCCAAAATGTGATTAGGTAAGACGGAAACAAACCTAACAACGCTGTTGCAACAGAGAACAGCTAATTTGCTACACACCTGTTGACTGAGATCATATCGATCCTTCCAGCACCAACGAATTTTCAGGATATCGATCGTACCATGTGCCGATCTGATGCAACTTCCAACCCTTTTGCATCTGAAAGTACAGCAGATAGTTTCAAAATTGGTTAAAAGGCTGAGCATTTTTTATATGTTCGGCGCTCAGGCACTAAAATAAATTCAAAAACTCAAAATTCTCAAAAAAAACTCAAATTTTCTTGATTTCTATAACTGCAAAAAATACGCACAGCAATGCCGTAATTTCTTGTAAGCAATATCCACAAGTAAGGGCTACAAAACTGCCTTATATGCAACGCTCTTCCCAAAATCTGGTGTCTCTAAGAGCTCCCGTACGATTAGCTCCTAGCCAGTCGTCCAGGGCTGAGGGGCAGTGTGGAGGGTGGCTAATATGCGAACTGAAGGAACACAAAAGCAATGGAAAGGATATCTTCATAAAAATAAAGGAAATAAATGGCAACGCGCACCAGACTAGCCGGTGCGATCATGCGTTTTGTGCAATTCAGCC